TAGAATTACGCTTTATATACAGTATGAGCCTGCCAGGCAGTACAGTGGTCACTGTGTGGTCCAGCCAGCATGTCTGTTTTTCCAAAAGAACAAGTTTATGCAGATGTAGCAGTTACAAGGATGAGACAAACCATTTACTATGGACAGGGGTGCTTGCAATGATCAGCTTTTGTACAGTACCTTGAAAAAGTATTCATACCCCTTGAAATTTTCCACATTTTGTCATGTTACAACCAAAAACGTAAATGTATTTTATTGGGATTTGATAGACCAATGCAACATGGCAAATTGTGAAGTGGAAGGAAAATGATAGTTTCAAAATGTTTTACAAATAAATATGTGAAAAGTGTAGGATGCATTTGTATTCAGCCCCCCCGGAGTCAATACTTTGTAGAACCACCTTTCGCTGCAATTACAGCTGCAAGTCTTTTTGGCGATGTCTCTACCAGCTTTGCACATCTAGAGTGAAATTTTTGCCCATTCTTGCAAAATAGCTCAAGCTCTGTCCGATCGGATGGAGAGCGTCTGTGAACAGCAATTTTCATGTCTTAGCACAGATTCTCCATTGGATTTAGGTCTGGACTTTGACTGGGCCATTCTAACACATGAATATGCTTTGATCTAAACCATTCCATTATAGCTCTGGCTGTGTTTCAGGTCGTTGTCCTGCTGGAAGGTGAACCTCCATCCCAGTCTCAAGTCTATTGCAGACTCTAACAGGTTTTCTTCTAAGATTGCCTTGTATTTGGCTCCATCCATCTTCCCATCAACTCTGACCAGCTTCCCTTTCCCTGCTGAAGGAAAGCGTCCCTACAACATGATGCTTCCACCACGTTTCACAGTGGGGATGGTGTGTTCATAGTGATGTGCAGTGTTAGTTTTCCACCACACGTAGCGTTTTGCTTTTCAGCCAAAACATTCCATTTTGGTCTCATATGACCAGAGCACCTTCTTCCATGTTTGCTGTGTCCCCCACATGGCTTCTCGCAAACTGAAAACGGGACTTCTTATGGTTTTCTTTCAACAATGGCTTTCTTCTTGCCATTCTTCCATAAAGGCCACATTTGTGGAGTGCAGGACTAACAGTTGTAGTGTGGACAGATTCTCCTACCTGAGCTGTGGATCTCTGCAGCTTCTCCAGAGTTCCCATGGGCCTCTTGGCTGCTTCTCCGATGAATGCTCTCCTTGCCTGGCCTGTCAGTTTAGGTGGACAGCCAAGTCTTGGTAGGTTTGCAGTTGTGCCATACTCTTTCCATTTTCAGGTGATGGATTGAACAGTGCTCTGTGAGATGTTCAAAGCTTGGGATATTATTTTTATAAACCTAATCCTGCTTTAAACTTCTCCACAAGTTTATCCCTGACCTGTCTGGTGTGTTCCTTGGCCTTCATGATGATGTTTGTTCACTAATGATCTCTAACAAACCTCAGAGGGCTTCACAGAACAGCTGTATTTATACTGAGATTAAATTACACACAGGTGGACTCTATTTACTAATTAGGTGACTTCTGAAGGCAATTGGGTTCACTAGATTTTAGTTATGGGTATCAGAGTAAAGGGGGGCTGAATACAAATGCACATCACACTTTTCAGATATTTATTTGTAAAAAAAAATGTTGAAAATCGTTTATCATTTTCTTCCACTTCACAATTATGTGCCACTTTGTGTTGGTCTATCACATAAAATACATTTATGTTTTTGGTTGTAACATGACAAAATGTGTAACATTTCAAGGGGTATGAATACTTTTTCAAGGTTTTTCTTTTGGGATAAAGGTTACAACCTTTATCTCAAAAGAAACAAAAAACTGCTGCTGTGACTGCAGTTTTACTTAAATTTGTTAGTGTATCTAAATCTGCTAGTACATCTTATACTCTCCTGCCCCCAGACTGACAATACTGCTGGCCACTGTGCTCTTTCAGCCAGAGTACAAGCCTCTAACACAGGGTGTTGCTGGCCAGATTAGCAGGTGAAAACAGATGGGGGAAAAAAGCGTTTAAAATAAATAATGCAGCCACGTCTAATGGGACAGTATCTGCATGAAGTATGCATGTTCTCTCTTTGCTTGTTTTGGTTTCCTCTGGGTACTCTAGTCTCCTCTCAGACTTCAAAAAAAGACATGCCAGTATGTTATTTGACTCTTGTCCATATAGGTGTGTGTGCGCGTGTGTGTGCGTGTGTTCGTGCGTCATATGGGTGAAAATGTACCCGGTTCAGTATGGATCGGCTAATCCATCAATGACCATTTCCTGATCTTTTTATGAATGGGACTGTTGGAAAAATGTTGTCAATCCGCCGGCTGCAGCCACTAAACAGTGTATTATTACAATGGAGGAGTCAGAATTCAAGGGCAAAGCGAGGAGGATTCTTCCATCCATGTGCACTGACTGATCAAAAAAAACGAAGGCATTCATGGCCAGCCTTGGATTGTAACTCCTTGGGGGTTGGGACAGATGTAAATCTATTGTATGTAAAATGAAGCATAAAATGTGGGCGCTATATAAATACTTGTAGTAGGAACTACACACAATGCACAGCAGTCCTTGTACCCACAAAACAATCATTATTGTGCCAGATTTTTGAATTTCACAATATTCAACTCAATAATGTGCTTTACAAATGTGTATTACAATTAAATGAATGTAGTGGGGGGAAAAAAAGCTAGAAGAGAAAAATCCGGTCACTTCAGTTGTGAGAACACCCTGGACACGGTAAGCTCTAATCTGCAGCCTATTAATGGACCCCATTTCTTTATTACAGGTATTTATACACCACTGACAATTTACATAGCGTTTACATATTGTACATTTACATCAGTCCCTGCTCTCAAGGACCTTCGGATCTAAAGGCCTCTATCTCGCCTGCATACAGACATAGAATGGGCCAATCTACACACAAGCCTATTAACTTACCAGCAAGTCTTTGGTGTGTGGGAGCAAACTTCAGTACCCAGAGGAAGCCCATTCAAGCTCAAGAGAAACATGCATACTCCATGCAGGTAGAGTCCTGACTGGGATTCAAATCATGGACCCTAGTCCTGCAAGGTAAAAGTGCCTTGCAGCCACTGTGTAGGCCTAATATGCAGAATCACTGTGGTGCCTAGCAATATCCACGCTCCATTATGAATGGACCCTCTATTAAAAGGTAAACTTGTATAACAATATTTTAAAGGATAAGTTCAGCTTTTAACAAAAAAAATAATAAATGCACATTTTTTTTTGCAGGTAAAAAAAAAACAATTATGTGCATTTACATATTTTTTTTTTTGAGCCTCTAAAGCAGGGGTGTCAAACTGGCGACCCTCCAGCTGTTGCACAACTACAAGTCCCATCATGCTTCTGCCTTTGGGAGTCATGCTTGTAACTGTCAATCTCGCAATGCCTCATGGGACTTGTAGTTTGGCAACAGCTGGAGGGCCGCCAGTTTGACACCCCTGTGCCAAAGCATTGCACCAGCGCTCAGCAGATCACTGGTGCCATGCAGGTCTCCTGCAGACCTGTCAGTGTGTCTGTGTGCCCGTACATCTCATACAGGCAGGCAGATATTTACTGATGGGAAGACTCCCATGAGCCACCACAGTGCTGTGGAGAACTACAAGCAGACAGCCGCAAAGGCTGTTGGAACTTGTAGTGTTCTCATTCACAGAATATTATTATTATACAGGATTTATATAGCGCCAACAGTTTGCGCAGCGTTTTATAATATAAGGGAGACAGTAAAATTACAATACATTTCAGTACAGAAGGAATAGGAGGGCCCGGCTCATGGAGCTTACAATCTAAAGTAAGGGGGAGGTGATACAAAAGGTGATAGCTGCGGGGGATGATCTGGTGGAGGTGATTCAAGTACAGTTCTTAGGTGGAGGTGGGGTAGGCTTCTCTGAATAAGTGAGTTATCAAAGATCGCCTAAAGGCAGACAGGGTGGGGGCTGATCGGACATGCTGTGGTAGGGAGTTCCAGAGGATGGGAGAGGGTCTGGAGAAGTCCTGGAGGCGAGTGTGGGAGGAGGTGATGAGGGAGCTACAGAGGAAGATATCTTGGGAGGAGCGGAGTGGGCGATTTGGGTGGGATCTGCGGATGAGGTTGGCGATGTAGCTAGAGGCAGAGTTGTGGATGGCTTTGTAAGTCAGGAATACTGTAAATGAGTGACATGGCTGGGCAGGCTGAGCCCCGCTCGGCTGCCTTTTTTAAAAAATTGTGACAGCTAGAAGGGGAGAGAAAATTCCCCACTAGCTGTCACAACAATATGGGTGTAACATATTACAAAAGGTGAACTTATCCCTTAGGGCGGATTATTCCCATTTTTATTTATTTCAGGTACTTATATAGAGCCGACAATTTACACAGCACTTTACATACATATATTGTACATTTCATATCAGTCCCTAACCCTCAAGGGGTGTACAGTCTAAGGTCCCTAACTTACATATACTAAGACCAATTTAGTCAGGAGCCAATTAAATGACCAGCATGTCTATGGAGTGTAGGAAGAAACCCAGACAGGCCCAGGGAGAAGATGCAAACTCCAGGCAGGTGGTGCCATGGTTGGGATTCGAACTGGTGACCCTCAGGCTGCCAGGTGCAAAGGCTAACCACTTAGGCACTGTGCTGCCCACAGTGGAAGAAGTCCCAAACGGGGCTGGTTCTAATTCCAATTAACAAGTCTGCAGACTCCAGAAGCCGCAATACAGTCCAAGAAAACAGACTTTATTATAAAGCAAATCTTACATGTGTAAACATTTACAAGACGTCAGGCCGGAGAATGTAATTCCCTTCCAAACGTTTCTTCCCATGGCCAATTCTCCAAGGTGCAAGTGATGACCTCTGCGTCTGCCATAAACACAGGAGCGAGTAAAAGCCAGATCCCGCCGACCTCCAGAGTCTCCAGCCGCCAAGAGAGTCTGTGTGATGAAATAGTCTGCTGAGAGAGAACAGCTGCTTGTGTCTTGGCAGGCTGTATAAGGCACCGTCTGTTACTCCTCTGGCACCCAGCCGGCAGCTTCACTTCATTGGCTGTTTAAGGTCAAACAATCCAGTTCCGCCTTTCACAACTTTTCCCACTACGAGGCACGCGGATGGGGATTGGAGATCATCCATAGCACCTGTTAGAAAATGAAATATGGATGAGTTATATTCCCATTAACAGTGCACTCAGAATGCAAAGAAATTCAGGCCCCAGTAAGAAAGTGAAACTACATCAGAGAGGGACACAGAAAAGGCTTTTCTGATAGATAGAATGCATCCTGTGGTTCCTATTCTTTTTTATTATTATACAGGATTTATATATAGATATTATTATGATACAGGATTTATATATAGATATTATTATTATTATTATACAGGATTTATATATAGATATTATTATTATTATTAATTATACAGGATTTATATAGAGATATTATTATTATTATTATACAGGATTTATATATAGATATTATTATTATTATTATACAGGATTTATATAGAGATATTATTTATTATACAGGATTTATATATAGAGATATTATTATTATACAGGATTTATATATAGATATTATTATTATTATTATACAGGATTTATATATAGATATTATTATACAGGATTTGTATAGAGATATTATTATTATACAGGATTTATATATAGATATTATTATACAGGATTTATATAGAGATATTTATTATTATACAGGATTTATATATAGATATTATTATACAGGATTTATATATAGATATTATTATACAGGATTTATATATAGATATTATTATTATTATTATTATACAGGATTTATATATAGATATTATTATACAGGATTTGTATAGAGATATTATTATTATACAGGATTTATATATAGATATTATTATACAGGATTTATATATAGATATTATTATACAGGAATTATATAGAGATATTATTATTATTATACAGGATTTATATATAGATATTATTATTATTAATATTATACAGGATTTATATAGAGATATTATTATTATTATTATTATACAGGATTTATATATAGAGATATTATTATTATACAGGATTTATATATAGATATTATTATTATTATACAGGATTTATATAGAGATATTATTATTATTATTATACAGGATTTAATAATATAGATATTATTATTATACAGGATTTATATATAGATATTATTATTATTATTACACAGGATTTATATATAGATATTATTATTATTATTATACAGGATTTATATATAGATATTATTATTATACAGGATTTATATAGCACCAATAGTTTGCTCAGCACTTTACAATATAAAGGGAGAAAATACAGTAACAATACAGTTCAATACAAGGTTAGGAGGGCCTGATCCTGGGAGCTTACAATTTAAAAGACTTTAATGGGAAAAAAACAAAAACAACAAAATCAAAAACAAAACCAAACAAAAAAAAAACAAAAAAACCACAAAATCAAAAAAAAAAAAAACAAACCAAAAAAACAAAAACAAAACACGCACTCACTATAAGGCCTCATGCACACTGAATGTTTTTGCTCTCCCTCCTAGACACCTGTCCTCCTGGCAGCGGGATTTAAGCAGAAGAAACCGCTTGCCACTTGTAAATGCCTCGTCTAGCACTTGAGTGTTAATTTCAATGACCAGAATAATAATTTATTCTGGCCACTGAAATTAATTATTACTCCAGCGCTGGGGCAGCACAGTGGCTAAATGGTTAGCACTTCCGCCTGGCAGTACTAGGGTCGTTGGTTCGAATCCCAACCACAGCACCACCTGCCTGGAGTTTGCATGTTCTCCCTGTGCCTGTGTGGGTTTCCTCCGGGTACTCCAATTTCCTCAAACACTCCAAAGACATGCTGGTAGGTGAATTGGCTCCTGTCTAAATTGTCCCTAGTATGTGTATGTATGAATGTGAGTTAGGGACCTTAGATTGTACACCCCTTGAGGGTTAGGGACTGATGTGATTGTACAATATATATGTAAAGCGCTGTGTAAATTGACGGCGCTATATAAGTACATGTAATAAATAAATAACATGAATGTATAATATATATGTAAAGCGCTGCGTAAATTCACAGCGCTATATAAGTACCTGTAATAAACGCGCCAAGCGATACAGTGCATTTACGCTACGCGAGTCAAGTGTTTTTACTGTCAAAGTGCCACTGCTCCTGAATGCACTGGAAGGTTTTTTTTTGTTCTCTAAACACCTATGTGTGCATGACAGATTTCCTCTAATACAGTTGTCCCCATCAGAAAATTTTCCTTTCAGTGACAAATTTTTTGTTTTAGTGACAATGGTCATTCGGACAGAGTAGTGATTTTCCCCAGTAGGGACACAGATGGTAATAAAAACTGGACAGAAAGTTTAAACCTTTCTCTCTCCAGATTAAAAAAAAAAAACTAATTTGCTTTGAAACAGAGAAGATTGTTTTACCCTCCTGGCTGTAGTGTCTGGTAGAGGTGTATGAAAAAAAAAAAAAGTTGGAAAAAAAAAGTTTACAACTCTTTTGGTAGACAACAGTTTGCATGTGTATTTCATAATGGGTATTAACCACTTGCCCTCCAGAGGATTTACCCCCCTTCCTGACCAGGCCATTTTTTGCAATATGTCGCTGCGTTACTTTAACTGACAATTGCACGGTCATGCAGCGCTGCACCCAAATGAAATTTGTGTCCTTTTTTCCCCACACAAATAGAGCTTTCTTTTGGTGGTATTGATCACCTCTGCGGTTTTTCAATTTTCTTGTGCTATAAACAAAAAATGTCAAAAAAAAATTATATTTTTTACTTTTTCCTATAAAACATGTCCAATAAAAAATGTTTTTTTTAAATCTAATTCGGTCATAAATTTAGGCCAAAATGTATTCTGCGATGTCTTTGCTAGAAAAAAAAATCCCAATACGTGCAAATTAATAGGTTTATGTGAAAGTTATACTATTTACAAATGGCGGTATATATACTGGGATTTTCATTTTTTATACTAGTAATGGCGGCGATCAGTGACTTATAGCGGGACTGCAGAGGGCATTCTGACACTGGGGGGAAACTGACTAACTGCCACGGACATCCCCAGTGACACCAATACAGTGATCCGTGCTAATAAAAAGCACTGACACTATACTGACACTGGGCAGGAAGGGGTTAACATCTGGGGTGATCAAAGGGTTAACTGTGTGCTGTTCTACATTATGTGCTGTGTGTGTTTCAGTAGGGAAACATGCTGCTGTGTAGAGAAATACACAGCAGCATGTGCTTGCTGGCAGGAGAGAGACCCGTGTTGTTTACAAACAGGTCTCTCCCGTCAGTTCTACACGCAATCACCGCGTGCTGACGGGGAATCTCTGGATAGGACCTGGTGATTGACATCCCTAGCCACCAATGGCGGCCCAATACCCGGAAATGCAAATCACGTATATATACACACATGATTTTGCGCAGCCCTGCAGCAGTAATTCTACTATAGAGCGGCAGGCAAATGATAAGCAGCTTGTCTCGAAGGGTGCTTCATACCAGGTTGTGGAAATTATTAGTGGTTCCCCCCAATACATCTCAGCAGTACCCCTGCACTGCAGCACAACACACCCTGCATTGGTGTTTGCTGTAAACTATATGCAGCAACTCCTACTTGTTTCATGTGCCGAGGTGTCACAAGCTGGTGATTTTGAATGGGTTGTCTAACAAAGTCGCATACAGCATTGTGGTGTGAAGGTGCCTCAAAGTGCCTAATCCCCAAAACAAAAATATAATCTATTGCAGTCTACCAGTCTCTAAGCTGCATTGGTTTTCTTTTTTGGAGGCTTTTTTTCTTCCTTATGTTCACCTGATGATCTTTCCAGTGACAGTTCATGTTTTAGAGCAAGGGTCTTCATGTTTTAGAGCGAGTTTACTGTAATTCAGACTTTAGGGGGCCACACTGTGTCCAGTGGGAGTAGAAAATGTCCTGACATCAGTGGGAGTAAACAATATCCCATCTTCAGTATTAGGGACATTATTAGTGCCCCATTGTTGGTGTCGTTGGGGGGAATAGTGTGCCATCGTCGGTGTCAGTGGGAGGAACAGTGCCCAGTCATCGGCGTCAGTGTGAGGAACAGTGCTCCTTCATTGGTGTCAGTGGGAGGAACAGTGCCCCATCGTCGGTGTCAGTGGAGGAAACAGTGCCCCATCGTTGGTGTCAGTGTGGGAGGAACAGTGCCCCATCATTGGTGTCAGTGGGAGGAATAGTGCCCCATCGTCGGTGTCAGTGGGAGGAATAGTGCCCCATCGTCGGTGTCAGTGGGAGGAACAGTGCCCCATCATTGGTGTCAGTGGGAGGAGGAATAGTGCCCCATCGTCGGTGTCAGTGGGAGGAATAGTGCCCCATCATTGTTGTCAGAAACAGACCACTGTCCTAAAGTGACACCGCACACTCACTAGAATGTCTGTAGGGAGTTAGGCTGTGCTCTCTTGATCTGGACTACAGACACAGGGCTTAGAAACTTTAAAGAATATGTAAACCCAAGGTTTCTTATTCCTGATATGTCTGCTGTACCATGTACTTGTATGAAAATGTCTCCTGTTCTCTTTGTATTGGTTCCTTTGTGTGAAATCCCTGGTGTTCCTGCCAGTCCCTCTGCTTTTCTATCAAAAACTGACCATGCTAGGTAGGAGAACACAGTGTTGTCAGTTTTCTGACAAAAAAAAACCCTCAAAAACGTATTTATAATGTTTTTTATATCTATACACAAACGTTTTACTTTTCATTTCTACTTGAAATTGTATAGGTTGTTTTTACAAGGTGAGGGTTTTGTATACTTCTTTAAACTCTTCCGGCTTAGTAAAATTACATTTTTACTGAGATGTCAAAGCAAGATTAGAACCACAGCATACATTAGGGACACATTTATCATTAGGCATCTTGACAGGAGACAGAAAGTTTAGTTCATTTGTGTAAGAGTTCATGCATATGGATGCATTTGGTCATAAGAAACCAGAATAATTCCGCACCCGGGAGGGGAAGTCTCTAGGCAGAGATGTGCAGCATGAAGAAAGTTTACTGAAGAAAGTTACATTTTGGGTGTTTGGTCCTTCAATCTGAGATTCCATGGGTGCTGTATTGAACCGCAGCCAACAGGCTGTACAAACCAATGACAGGCTGACAA